CTCTTAGTCACCCGCTCCCTGGCCCTTCAGTCTGAAGATTTCTTCATTATACTCTTCAAGCCCCTGGTCTTCATTCTCAGCAAACACCTCTTCTTGTCCTTTACTGTGACCAAGGTGCCCCTCGGCCTCCATCTTCCTGACGACCTATACATCCGCATGGACCAGCATCCATGCTGCCTCCTGAGTCCAGCTCCAGTGAAGGTGCTCTTTCCTCCTTTCCAAGACGTCAGACCCTCTCATGTACTTTGTTGTTGTTAAAGTATAGTTGATTTACAATGTTGATTGATTTCTGTGGTACAGCAGTGATTCAGTTGTACCTGTGTATATTCTTTCTCACTATGGTTTATCCGGACGTGAGAACTGGACCATATAGAAGGCTGAGCACCAAAGAATTGATGCTTTCAAACTGTGCTGGAGAAGCCTCTTGAGAGTCCCTTGGATAGCAAGGAGGTCAAACCAGTAAATTCTAAAGAAAATCAACCCTGAATATTCATTGGAAACACTGATGCTATGCTGAAGCTGAAGCTTCAGTACTTTGGCCACCTGATGTGAAGAGCTGACTCACTGGAAAAGACCGATGCTGGGAAGGATTGAGGGCAGAAGGGGATGGCAGAGGATGAGATGGTTGGATGGCATCACTGACTCAGTGGACATGAGTTTGAGCAAGCTCCGGGAAATGGTGAAGGACAGGGAAGCCTGGCATACGTGGGGTCACAAAGAGTTGGACAGGACTTAGCTACTGAACAACAAATGGTTTATCCCAGGATATTGAATAGAGTTCCCTGTGCTCTACAATGGGATCTCATTGCTTATCCTTCCTATATAATGATAGTTTGGATCTTGATTCTGACTCCATCTCCTAGGGTCTCATGTTTTCCCTTAGACAAAGAGGATGTCTCAGGGATTGAGGCATTGATGCTGCCCTGCAGTCGCTTACACTCGACTAAGGACGACAGATGTGTGGGGTGGAGACAGCAACAGCCGTGAGGACTGGTCCAGAGAGGAGCTGAGCTCTGGAAGCCCTCTAGGCGACGGGGAGCTTGTGAAGATGACCCCAGAGCTCCCACCAGGCTCTGGTCCACCCCTTCTCACCTGGGAACTTGGTACTGGCTGACATCACCCGAGAATCCCCAGGGGAGCAACTTCATGTCCAAGTGCTACCTCCCTGCTCTGAGCCCGCCCACCTGGCCCTCATGATCTGTGTGCCGCCCCCCATGCTCTTCCCTGGGTTCACTTGAGCTCCCTTTCCATTTCTCCCAAAAGTGTCAGTCATGTCCGACTCTTTGTGACCACATGGACTGTAGCCCACCAGGCTCCCCTGTCCATGGGGCTCTCCAAGCAAGAATACTGGAGTGGGTTGCCATGCCCTCCTCCAGGGGATCTTGCTGACCCAGGGGTTGAATGCCCATCTCTTGCATTGCAAGGAGAATCTTTACCATCTGCATCAACAGGGAAGCCCACCATGAACAAATCCAATGTGTGAATCTGTAGGGCCATCTGTGTATATGAAACAATCTTGAGATAAATCAGCCTGCTATTCCCCTGGGACTTCAATGCTTCTTCTGGATCAAAAACACTTCTGTAATTAACTGGAAATCTTAGCAGTGTTCCCACAGGTTTTGATGTTGTATTATCTCACTTTTACTTGGAATCATGCATTTACTTTGAACTCAAGAATTCATCTGAAACCATTTAATATGAAAACATTTCTTTTTTCAGTTGCTTGTTATGGAAATCTATCTTAAACTAGCATAAACAGAAAGTAAATGGACTGGCTTCCATTAGCAGAAGTCCAGGGTAGTTGCAGTGTCTGCAGGGCAGGACCCTGACCTCCCTTCCCCATCCCAACTTCCCTCGGCTCATCACACACACAGGGTCTCTGCGCACATCGGGTAGAAAGTACAGGGAGCCCGGGGGGCAGCTCCTCCTGGCTCAGCTTGTCCAGTGGAAGCACTTATCTATCATCCTGCCTTTCATGTAGTAACCCCCATGGAGGAGCACAGGTGCGGTGGGACGGGACCCTGAATGACAGACTCAGCAGGGTCACATGGGGATGAGGTAGCCTCTAAATGAATCAGATGTTTGGGAACTAGTGCCAGAGAGACAAGATATAGCAATGCCCTCCCTTCCCAGGGCTTTCACAATTCTGCTTTTCTATCAGCTACACTTTCTAACAGCACTATTACAAAGGTAACTTGGATACATACTGTCAGACACATATAAGAGTGGAAAAGCCCTTTTGTGTCAAAGCAGCTCAGTCTTCCAATTATGGAAACACCTGGGCTAATTTAACTGGACTCTATGGCACATCGATATGAAATGTTGTTTCTCTCTGCAGTTGGAGCCATTAAGGAAAAAAAAAATAATTAGCTGTCTTTTTATAGCTCTGGGGAGATGAATCAGAACAAGTCATTGGAGGCAGTCATCTGTGCTTTCATCTTCCCTCCACCACTTAGATAAACAAGTACCAGAGTACACAGGTTGATTTGAATAAAATTTTTAATTAATAATAAACCTGTTGCATCACTTTGCAGAACCGAAGTACCAGAAGAGACCTCCCAAGGCTGGAGCTTGTTACTTCTTCCCGGAACCGAGTCCACAACATTGCTGGCACTGGTCACCTGCCCTCCTCCCCCAGGTCCACAGTTGTGGGACAGCCTTCATGGCTCAGCTCCCCCAGTCCAGATATAACACAAACAGAAGCAAAACTATTCCATGAGCCCCCACTGGGTGCACCCATTCTCCGAGGTGCTGAACACAGCAGTGAACAATTTCTCATAGAAACGCATGGGCTCCACGTTCCCTAATTCACAGCTACTCATCACAGCTGTTGCACTGGACTGGTTTCACTTGTGTCATGCATCCTAGGAACTATGTTGGGGGTGAGGGGAGCCCCCACCACCAGTTTGACCTACAAACTCATCAGGCAGTACCTCTGTCCTACTCATTGTGAAGTAGTGTCTTCAGTGTTGGCACTTTGCTTATTTCTGAAACTTGTAGAAACACATGGATTTTTATATCGGTGACTATTCACCTTATGTTTCCTGGTGGGACATTCTTGTTTCACTTTTTGGCTGTATCCTACAGCATATGGGATCTTAATTTTCTTACCAGAGACCAAACCTACATCTCCTGCAGTGGAAGGTAGAGGCTTAACCACTGGGCCACCAGGGAAATCCCTCAATTCTTCTTGAATGGCTAATTTTCTACAGCTAAATGGGGTGGAGATGGGGGGCTGTAGGGGGCAGGGAAGAGTAACTTGATTTAAAATACCTTAAATCTCACCATTTTTGTTGTTTTTGATACCTCAAATCCCCAAACTATACTTTGAACTGGAGGCAATCATTGTGGAAGTCTAGTGTTAATACTTTAAACATTGTTCCACCTGTGAGGCATGTAGATTTTGATGCACGTATGTTTGTGTGTGTGTTGAGAACTCTTGCCATGGCTTCCCAACACTTACATGAACGCTCATCACTCTCAGGAGAGCTGGAAAACCAAGGTGGTGATTTTCTGCCTTCTGGGGATGGTTCTTCATTAACTGTCACTACATCTAACTTTATGATCCAACTCTCACATCTGTACATGACTACTGGAAAAAACGTAGCTTTGACTATATGGGACTATTGCCAGAAAAGTGATGTCTCAGCTTTCAATAATATGCTGTCTAGGTTTGTCATAGCTTTCCTGTGAGAGCTGGACCACGAAGAAGGCTGAGCTCCAAAGAATTGATGCTTTCGAATTGTGGTGCTGGAGAAGACTCTTGAGAGTCCCTTGAACAGCAAGGAGATCAAACCAGTCAATCTAAAGGAAAGCAACCCTGAATATTCATTAGAAGAACTGACATTGAAGCTGTAATACTTTGGCCGCCTAATACGAAGAGCCAACTCATTGGAAAAGACCCTGATGCTGGGAAAGACTGAAGGCAGGAGAAGGGGGTGACAGAGGATGAAATGGTTGGACTGCATCACCGACTCAATGGACATAAATTTGTGCAAACTTTGGGAGATGGTGAAGGACAGGGAACTCTGGCATGCTGCAGTCCATGGGGTCACAAAGAATTGGACACAAGTTAGCAACTGAGCAACCTCTTGATTCCTCCATGTTAACACAGTTGCTTTGTCCTAGAAATAGACATTATAAGATATTACCCTTGAGAACTGTTTACTTCCGGTTACTTTATAACTGGCTGATGTTTTCCAATCTAAGACTCCCTGTTCAGTTTCTCGTATCACACTGAGTGCACACACAAGGATGCAAGCATGTACTCTGCTCTGAACCAGCCTGAATCCCTCACCGGGGTCCAGGGAGAAGACTACAAATGTGCTCGCACCACTGCTCGATACCAGTCCCTTCATACCCCAGCCAAGCAACATTAGTTAAAACTGCACTTTAAAAACACCTTAATAGTTGGGATAGGAGAACTTTTTAAACAAAAAATAAAGTATAGATATCCAAACAAAATGACAAAATGTGATACATGTTTAATAACAAGAAACTTTATTGAATTACAAATTTAAAAATGGCTCACTTAAAAGTGGGACTATTTTATTCTTCTTACACTCATTCTTTCAAAAATTCATGTTATTTTCCAAGTGATAAAAGGTTACTCTGTGACCTGACAAAGTGGAGGTGGTACGGCACCAGTGGCCAATTCTTACATGTGGGGTCTTCATGTGGACTTCTGGAAGTTTTCTCTACTGCATCAAACTGACCTGCGGTGAGCAGTGGAGGGGAAATGATCTCTATAAGCCTTAAAGTCCTCAGTCAGGACAGATTTCCAAATCAAAGTCAAGTCAGGAACTGTTCACAGGAACCACACTATTCTAAAATGCTAACATCTTCCTCCCAGTGTGTCTTCCTACAAAAGGAAAAAATGGTCCAAATTTTGCACTCTTTGCCTGTCTGGGATTTATGAAAAGCATACCAAATTACAACAGTGTTCTGAAAAACTAAAATACACTACAAAGTCAAACAGGTAAATAAACAACAAACCAAACTGATTTCAACAAAGTCAAGTCATATTTCCAAAAGCCAAAATCTATTAAGAACAAGTAATACACATGTACAAGAAATTACAAGAAATGAGGATCACAGTTAGTTACAAATGCAAAAATAATATCTAATTATCCCAGACTTGTGAACAGAATAATTAAAATCAATTTCATATGCTAGTTCAAATATTATATACAATTTAGATAAGCTGGTCAAGTATTATTTGAATACACACCATGTCTGATAAACTTATAATTACACTGCCTCTTATCCTCTTTTACTATTTGTAGGTACATGCCAATATAGGAAAAAAAATGTAATTTCCACTTGTGTGTTTACTGAGAAGAGTAACATTCTACTGTGTGTGTTTCATATTGTAAAAAAGTTGTTACATTTTCTTTTAAGAAGAAAAAAAAAGGTAAAAATTAACTGCCAAAAGTTTAATATCAACTTATAAAACTGAAAAAAAAAAGTTTTGAAACAGATACCATTATGTGGTCTCCCTACTGACCTGAAACTACAGAAGGCGTTTAAGGAAGGGACACTATGTCAAAACCAGAGACTAACCCAAGGGAGGCAAGTTACTTTAAAAATCTGATTTGCAGGAAAACTAGCTAGTTGACCTAGTCTTAAAGCTAATTACAAAATCCATCTTCTTAATGGTCCAGATGTTTTGCCAATGCTTCCAACTCAACAGAACTGTCAAAAAAGAAGAAATATTTTGTGAGACCTTTAAATACAGACAATGGGGTGTACCTCCTTGCCCTGTTCAACATAGCATACAACATGACACTGCTAAAGAAAGAAGCATTTTTGAAAAATATGCTGTATTTTCCAGACATGAACAGTCACCTATATTGTGTTTGACTCTTCCAACTTAGAACAGATAAGCATACATAAAGAAATAGTATAAAATATTTTCTTATTAAGCACTCTCTCCATAATTCTTAGGTTAAAAAAATTAATTCCAAATTTGAACTTCCAGAGTAAGCCACCATAGGCATCAGCTTTCTACATTACACTGAATTTTCTTAAATCCAACAGGAACTATGTCAGCACTTTGCAGCAAACTGCCTGTATTCAATACAAACTGTGATATACCCAGTCTTCCTCCTCATGATGCTAAACAGATCCAGGAGAGTGCTGGAAAAACCAGGTTTGCCCAACAGGATTGAACAGCATGAACATCCCTCCTGTAGACCAGTTAAAGAAGCTGCCAGTTCTGGACAGGAGACACTGCTTCAAGCCATGAAGACACTGTCAGCACCATACCTCCAGGCCCAAGAACAGAATCTCTGTGTGTAACAGAGATTAACACCTGGAACACTGCTAGAGCCCTCCTCCCACTGTCTTTTTTGTTCACTTCTGATCTCAGGAAATGCTTTCACCTCTGTGATTGTTTCAAAGTAAGGAAAAGTCTAAGGTAAGAATAATTTGAAAAGAAGCTTGTAGAATTTTCACACACACACAAAACTAATCATAAATCGAAAGCATTTTTGGAGCATCAACAATGACCAAAGGCATTTTAAAATTTATCATTTCTACTACTCAGCATGACCTGTAATGTGGGTCTTATTTATATTTGTCTGTGAGAATATTACAGTTCAGCAACAGTAAGGGGCAAAGGAGCCCAAAGCATGTCTGGCTCCAAAGCCCAGCTTCCTCCCATGGGAGCCCCCAGTCACACGCTCCTAGTGTCCCCACTTCTGTTTTAGGTGTGATGTTTCTGTGGCTCACAGAAATCACTGAAGAATGAATCATTCATGTAACATAAGTTGCCTGTGTGGGGCTAATTTAGGAGAACACAGGCAACACAAAATAGGCTTTGTGAGCCTACCAGATCATGGCGGTGCTCATCTGGATTTCCTAGAATAAAGACTAAAACCAGTGGGCTGGATTTCAACGAGGTAGAATAGTTTTTCCAGAAACAAAGTACAGAGACAATCATGCACAGGTGCAGGTGTTCTGGAAGAACGACCATGGGAGCACCTGGAGGGACACAGGAGCTGCGCCTCTAAGATCCAGCCCTGTGACTCCTGCGCCAAGACCAGGCGGCAGGCGGCGTGCAGAGTCACCATTCTGGTTCTAGCAGAGCACCAGTGTGATCCACGGCAGACGCCAGCCTTGGCCTCCCCAGCATGGGGCAGTGTGAGCATGGGACACACGGCACAGCCCCCAGAGAAGGGCCGGGGTAACCACCCCAAGGAGAAACCACCCCACAGAGCGGGTGAGCAGGAAACCCGCGGGGCGCCCCACCTTCCACCGGTTTCCACACTCGTTGCAGACGACAAACGTTGTCATGGGTTCATCAGCACTCCGCGTTTGTACCTATGGCAAAGTTGGGTGAAAAACACTGCTTTTCACAATACTACAGAAAATCCAACCTAAACTAGAATATCCTACATGAACTACAATGGTAGCACAATAAAATGTGTAACAGTCCAAAACAAGCTATTAATAAATTAGAGAAATAATAAGGAAAGAACACACATTTCCAAACAAAAGTCCTTGTCTTCTCATCTTTATCCCAGAGAAGTGGGAAAATCATCTAAACTCACACATTATACTACTAATAAATGGCTAACAAATATGAAAAATTTTCATCATAGCTAAGAAGCACAGAAATGCTAATTAAAAGAACTCTCAGTTTTCTTATAAATTCGCAAAAACATAAAAATTACAAATACTTCATTCTGACAAAAACTGCCAAAACCTTTCTAAAAGTCAGACAGCCACAAGAGCCTTAAATACCCATCTGCTGTGACTGAGGAACTTGACATCTGCTCTAATATAAGACCGTAACTAGAAACACAAAGTTCTCTTGATATGTTTTGAGAGAGATCTCAAGTATAAGGATACATTCATAATACTAACAAATCCAGCTAACTGAAAGTAAGTTGGTATTCGTCTTGAAACAGGAGCTGTAAGCCTCTAGCCTGAGTGAGCCTATAATAGCCACACACCTGTGTGTAGGTGCAATTCTTCTTCTTACACTTGCCGCACGTGAACAAGTCCGTCTGGGTCCCGCCCGTCTTGGCCATCTGATGCTCTCTGATAGCTTCTTTGGTCAAGTTTTTCCGCATCTCTTTGAGCTCATCACTAGCCATCTCCTGTCACAAGGACAGCAATACCACCCAGTTACAGGCACCTTCTATACACATGCAGAATGCTGTTTATGCTCCAACAGTCTAACAGTAATAGGATTAAAATAAACTTTTAAAGTTTTGAAAGTGAAACATATTTTTCCTCAAAGGACTCATCAGTTTGCTTAATCTTACATTTTCCCCAAACACTCTGAAGTCTATATGTGAAAACTGCATTTAATGCAATCCTACGGTGATGAGCGTATCCAGACCACGGTCTACTACTGCACCCACCTCCTCTTCCAGAAAAGGAACCAGGGCCCTCAGAGGAACGTCTGGTTCCAGTTTTGAGTCAAGAAATGCACAAGACAGGCAGGGTATCTCCTTATGCCAGGAAGCGGGGGAGCTGCCTGACCACTGTGAGTGCATCACTGGACAGAAGGGCTACGTGACAGAGCTCCACTGACCAGACAGAGGATAATTTCTTCAGCCATCATGATAAATCATTGAAAAGACCAACCCCACTGGATAAATAAAGTCACAAGTCTGTGACGACACTTAAAAAAGTAGAGAACACACACATGCAAAAATGGCAACAAAAGCCCCCATTGGCGGTTAGTGGGGTGCCAACCACTCCTTCTGACAACTGTTAACCAAAGGGAAGAATTACACACTCACCTGCCTTTCCTATCCTAACCAACAGCCTTAAACTCAGGGCAAGTGCTCCTTTATCAAAGAAGTCTAGCTAAGGAAGGTGAAAGGACTTTCAGAATTCTAGAAATCTCTGTTTTGCAACTCCTAATGGCAACACCAGTTCAGGCAAGGATCATCAGAGGGTGAACACGCAGATGAAAGGCCAGTGGAGAACCTCACAGAGAAGGGATGAGACTGTCCGTACAAATCCCTGATAAATTTCCACATCCGAAGAGAACAAGATACGTGTCTCCTGAGGTGATGCAGTATGAAGTAAGAAGGACCACTGATGAAGCATTTGTGCAGGGAAAGTTAACCTATACGTAATCTAAGCCTACAAAACTAGCTTCCAGTTCACAGAAAAGAATCGAGACAGAAAAATTAGCATAATGAGGAAGAAACGGGCAATTCAGTGTGAGATACACAAGAGATAACCCAGCTTCTTCAATAGGTCAATGTCATGGAAGAAAAGGGGGCTGGAAAAGGAGACTTAACTATGCTCATACAGTCTTAAGAGACCAAGCTTAAGATGACATCTAGACTTCGGATCCTGATACAAAGCAAATGCGCAACCAGGAACATACAAGGACTATAAACCGGATATCGGATACACCAAGGAATCATCATTAGACTTGCTGGATGCAGTGATGACAGTGTAGCTACATAAGAAGAATGTCAGATTTTTAGAGATTTCTCTCAAGGATAGAGAGGTGGAAAGATATGATGTCTGGAATTTGCTTGAAAATAATTCAGGGGAAAAGAAAGAAAACAAAGAAGGGATAGATGATAAACAAGTGACAAATTACTTAATATACTTGAAGATTAGGTGATGGGTAGATAGGACTTCATTACACTATGCTCTGTACTTTGTGAAAGTTTACAATTATTCTAATGAGGTTTTAAAAAATGAATCTTAAAAATATAAGTTTTTATTATATAGAAAGATAAATTTACTTGGATGCTCAGTAAGACAGTGAGACTGTAGACACACTTCAGCTTATATCTATGAACAGCTACACTTAAAAACAGCAAACAATGAATTTCATTTTCTGCATCACTTTCTAAATAAATATAAGGACAGTCAATAAGATGTAGACAATCTTATAATATTTAACCAAGAAAAGAGCTTAGAGGTTACAAAGTCTGTTTGCAATTAGAGATTTAATTCTGATTATACATGAATCTATAATAAATAACATTTTTATTTTTTGACAATAATTTAATAAGGTAACCACTCAAAGATCATGGTACAGTTATGAAAGGGACAAAGTACTGATGCTAATAGATTCAATCACCTTAAGTTCTTGTCTAGTACACTGTATATACTGTGTATAAAAGTATATTAGGATAGTTATTACATATGTAGTATTTATACAGTACTTCATAATTTAAACAGACTTTACACTTGACATCATGGAATACCATCACAGAAACGTTCTATTCAAATACACTCACCTCTGCTGTCATTCTAGCAAACAAGTCAGGAGGAATGTTCCCACACAGCACGTTTTTCCTTAAATTTGGATTTTTGGCATCCTTAAGATTTGATATCCTACTTCGTACTCTATTTTTGTATTTCATGTCTGTATTCCTTATTTCTTGATAGATAGGTACTAGGCCGTTAAAGAAAAAGGTTAAATTATAAAGGTCCTAAGATCATTTTTTTTCCTATTCTGCCACGATAAGAATTTCTGAAATTTCTAAGCAGTATTTCCAATTCAGATTAAATTAACAAGGCACTATTTCTGCCTGATTTCCTGATCAGTACCTGGCAAAAAATAGTGATTGTATGCTATGTGATTTTATGCTATGAATGAGCAATACTTTCTCAATGTTTAATGCCAAGTGACACAGATTAAAAGGGTTTAAAAATGTAACTCAGGTATTCAATCTGAGTGAGAAAACTTTAGGAAAAGAGCTTGAACTTGTACATGCTTTCCCTGGTCCAAATCTGCATTCTGCCAAGGATCCTAAAAGCCTCAAAAAGACCACACAGCTCCTTTGAGGGCCTCCTGAGAGAAGACAGTTTGCAGTGGCCTGGAGGTTCATCTCCTTCCAGCTCAGCAAGAAGCCAGGTTAGCAGGTAGTTTTTCTCAATGGGACAGGCTCCAACAGGGGCCCAGCCCTAGGGCAGCCACCCCTCAGCCAGGACAGGCCCGTGGTACACTGTCATCTGTCACCAAACGGTCCCTGCTCCCCGGACCCATGTGTAAGACTCCCTCTACCCGACCAGAGCTCTTTCTGAGGCACCCAGTGTGAATGCACAGGACGATGAGCTCAGGTGATTTCTATGCTTTGCTGAGGGTGCCCCTCCACAAGGTGAGACCCCACTTTACACTTGCTAGCACGTGTCCATGAGAAGTTACAGTCTCAATTTGCAAGGTGGAAAAATAAAAACACTATCACTATTATGTGTCTTACTTTTGCATAACAGAAAAACAAGAATAACATGTCACAGACAGCCTTCCCCTTTCCCACCAAAACAATCAAGACAGAAACTGTAGAATAAGATTTTCTACTCTTTACAGGAGGAAAAAATAATCTAGTGGATTCCTGACACCATTATGAATATACATGCAAAGGATATCTTCCTCGATCTGAGAACCCAACTCTTCCTCGTCAGCTCCAATGGCGATGTAGTCATCTAAACACAGACACAGAGAAGTATCATGAATGAATGATTACAACATATTAAAAGAAAACTTCAGTACAGAGCCAATCAAACTGTATTCCTATCTCTTCAATCCCACTTGCCCTGTACAAAGAATCCTTTCAGTATAGTTTCCTTAGAACCTGGTCTTCTTTATGACCCCTTCGGCTCCTCCTCTGGATTCACCTCGTGTCCACAGGGCTCCTGCATGGATTATGCCTTATCCCTCAGGAGTCGGGGAGTCATGAATCCAGCAGGCAACCCCTCATTGCACAACTCCAGAAATTCTGGCTGCTCCCACAGAGAGCAGAGAAACTTATGCAAAAAACTGTCTTGTCTCCTTCCCGCCTCAGGCTTCCATGCAAAGAAACCATTCATTTCATCTGTCAATCACATATATGGACAGATTCAGAAGACTACTAGGCAAATGTTCAAAGTGACAGAAGGAAACAAAAAGAAACTAGGAAGAAACAAGAAAACATATATAAAGAGATAGTAAAGGAATCAGAGTAAAGAAAAGGCAGAGTAAGAAGAGAAATAGGTCATACTAACCAAGGTTCAGTATAACAGAAAAGGATGAATTTTTAGTAGACAATAAATACATATTCCTATATATGAAACTTTAAAGCCAAAATTTTACATAGGAATGGATAACTACAAATTAAAGCTCCCATATATAAACCAAGATCTCTTTCCCATTTAAAAAAAGGAGGAAACGAAACTATGAATATAAAACTTATTATATGTCATAGTAACATTTAACAACAGGACAATAATACAGTATCATTAACTCTCAATATGAGGGAGGGATACTGAGTTTTCAGACTAAATGTGAGGAGAAAAAGGATTGTGAAAAAGAGTTTAAATATCTGTGACTCAGGGGAACATTCACCAGAAGGAGGAACCTATTGTTTCTGAGAATCACATGTAATAAGCAGAGCCCTGGATGCCTGCGCCTTTCTGCTCTCAGTAGCGCCCGTCGCAACACCCTCTCCCTGGGCTGGGTGGTGGGGGGGCAGCAACCATTGGGATTCCACCCAGAGGATGACATGAGGTGGGCAGGGCAGCGGCGGCCTTGGTCAAAGGACTGAGCGATGACACTTACCTCCCGTTCGTAGAGCAGCAGCGAGCATCTCCCTGCACTTTAACCGCACAGAATCAGAAGTGCTCGGCGCCCGAGGAAAAGATGAGACATACGTGTCCCGGGCATTGGTCTCGTCCTTTCTGCTGCTCATGTTGCCACTAGAGCTGCTAGAATATACACACACAGACACACAGAAAAAGAAGTCAGGAAAACTCTCTTAAAGTGAGTATCATTACCACTACTTTCTAAAAACAATAATTCTGGGCCTAAATAAATGAAATAGTATTCCAGTGACTCTTAAATGGAAAACAAAAAAACAAAACACCTGCCTGTATATAGATTAAAAAGAAGTTAAAACTTTAGTAAAGATGAGACAAGTCTTATTTTTTTAACCTTGATTCTCCTTTTAAACATTAAACAATATCTTTAATACAGAAAACACACATTACAGCTCAATACAGCACATGAAAAGACAGGATCTCAGTTACAAGCAGAGGGGGTGAGGGGAGGGCACATAGGCTATGATCACTCTCAACCAAAACCAGAGAGAAAAATGCTGGCAAACCCTGCTCCAATCAGACAACCAGTGAGGTTTATACATGAGACACCGCTTCAGGATAAAAACCACATGTAGTCAGAAGTAGTCGTGAAAATACAAACATCTCTTAATTTCTCCCTAAAAACATCAATACCATTGGGACAATTTAATAACTTTTCCAGTCGACTTAATCACTTCAACCACTCCTGATTAACTTCCTGTGTTAGATTCTTACTGAAATATTTTCTGACTGGTTTCAGTTAATTTTTGCCACAGTAAAGATCTCTGCCAATTAGTTCTGCCGAACTAATCCTGCCTTTCACTCCACGGACGTCACCTGCTGCTCTCTGCTGGCAGGTAGCCCCTTGCCCTCACCCGTAAACCCAGCCGACATCCACACACAGCCTGCATGGGCCCGGCAGCAACTCTGCAGGCCTTCTGAGGTCAGTCCTGTGTTTCCTGAAGCCTCCGTGACCCCTGTCTCCCAAAACACACAAGCTTCTGTGAAGTGAAATACCTTTCCTCTCTTGCTTCAGGGCTATTCTGTGACGTAACTGCAGTATCTTTTTTCTTTTCTTCAGAGTCTTTATCTGTTGATGGTCCATCTGAAAATTTATGAAATTCCTAAGTTTCAGCACTTGTTAAAACGAAACAAAAAACAGGACTACTGCATGTTATCAAGCTATTTACGCAAGCAAAAAAAAAAAACCCAATAAAATCCTAAGCTTTTAACAAGTAAATGAAGTTTATGCAAGCTATTCTATTAGCAAATGTACATGGAAAAAACACTGCACATAAAAAAATTTAAGTGTGAAGTATATATAACAATGTCGTTTGACAATTTTTCATGAAGTAAAAAAATTTGAGGTGGTACTCAAAATACAAATAAATATTTCAGAGATAGTAAATAAAGAAGATTTTCATAGACTATAGTTCAGGATTATTAGTTACGCCTACTCAGCATCTCCTCTATCTTAAATAATCTGAAAACTAATACAGGTTATTAATACTAATAAAGCATAAGCTTTAAGACTTAAGGAAGTGAGTAATCAGACACGGAAAAATAAAGTACATAAAATAGGTTGGGCGAAGGCAACAGTTTAGCACTGGAAAGAAACATTCACGTTTATATCAACCAAAACAGCTTTGAAGCTGGGTTCAGAAATATTTGGACCCATTGCGTGAACTACCCCGGTTTGGTCTACCTTTTGATCCACACGCGAGTCCCAGAGCTGCATGAATAACTCACCTCTCCACTGCCCTCTCTACAGAACATGGAAGAACATTCACCCTTGAGGCAGGACCGCCCAGGCAGCTCTAAGCTCCCACTTGAACACTCCATTCAGCTTCTGGCGGAGAAGGGGGTTCGAGTGTCCCCAGACGACACTAACAGGCCACTCTGGAAGGGACTGACTGACAGAGGACGGTCCCAACCACAACTCCAGAACTATCATAGGAATCCAGTCCTCATGACACATGTCAGTTCTCAGAGACTAACTGTATTGCCCCTTTTACTCTATGATTCTCTGGAAGGCCTGAAGATGCTATGGTATCATGAAGAAGAAAGCACGGATCAGCGATGACATTTCAGAACAGAGCAAGAATCAAGATATGTTCCCACAGCAACAGGGGGGTTCTTCAGAAAGGTGACATGATGCATTGTGTCCGATTCTCTGCATCCCCATGGACTGTATAGCCCACCAGGCTCCTCTGTCCATGGGATCCTCCAAGCAAGAATACTGGAGAGGGTTGCTGTTTCCTTCTCCAAGGGATCTTCCTGACCCTGGGATCAAGCCCAGGTCTCCCACACTGCAGGCAGATTCTTCACCATCTGAGCCACCAGGGACAGGTCATACAATCAGGCAGTACCGCCTAACAAGGTCCAGTAATGCTGGGGGAGCAGTAACCCTGCCATGGTGCACTGTACACTAGGGTGGCCCTCTGAGAAGGCAGGGCAGTAAGAGGCAGGAATGGTCGTAAAAACACTCCAACCTGAGCAGAGGGTGGTGAGCCACGCAGCAGAGCCCGGCTCAGAGGGCTCAGATCACACCCTAGCTTGGCCACTCAGCACCCCTTCTGCTGTTGCTGCTAAGTCGCCTCAGTCGTGTCCAACTCTGTGTGACCCCATAGACGGCAGGCCACCAGGCTTCCCCGTCCTTGAGATTCTCCAGGCAAGAACACTGGAGTGGGTTGCCATTTCCTTCTCCAATGCATGAAAGTCAAAAGTCAAAGTGAAGTCACTCAGTCGTGTCCGACTCTTTGCGACCTCATGGACTGCAGCCCACCAGGCTCCTCTGCCCATGGGATTTTCCAGGCAAGAGGACTGGAGTGGGGTGCCATTGCCGTCTCCACAGCACCCCTCCTACTGCACACAAACAAGGCACCTGATCTCTCAGTGCCTTGACTGTCTCAGCACACGTGGGGTTACAGCAGCCCCTCGACTGTCTCAGCACACATGGGGGTTACAGCAGCCCCTCAACTGTCTCAGCACACGTGGGGGTTACAGCAGCCCCTCGACTGTCTCAGCACACGTGGGGTCACAGCAGCCCCGAGCACGCGGAACAGCCGGGAGGACCAAGTGCACTAATACAGGCCCACGCATGGTGTGTCTTAAGTTTCAGAGCTGTGCTACCCAGAAGCAGTAGGAAAGATCCCAGAAATCTAGCTAACAACCTAAACGGCAATCCTTTCTGGTTTGGAATCTAATACAGGGTCATATATTTCATTAGTTTTCTTAAGGCTAAACTTTCTAAATTTCAAAGGCTTTACGATTTTTGGTTACTGGTTTCCAAGTTCTTATATGTAATAAGCTTTTTATTATTACTGCTGCTATCTATGAAGTTTTAAAAGCTTCACTTTTTTTATTTTCTCCTCCACATGAGGCTGGTAACTGCTCAGGAGATGGCTAGTTCCAGGGCTGGGATAGATACGCCCAGCACGTTGCGTGGTGCCAGAAAGCAGGAAAGAGGTTAAAAAACAACAACAAAAAAGCAAGGAGCTTGTCAAAGAGACACAGAAGCAAGTTTGAGGGGTGCCCAGTGGTCACAGCTGGGACAGTGTGAATATCAAAACAAGTATGAGCAGGAGTGGACTATATAATCCATTATACAGAACAGGAATCTGTGCATCCACACTCAAAACAGAAAAAGTACTGGGGGGCAAGATGAGGGTTCTTATAGAATGATGATGTGTGAAAACTCAAAAAGTAGAAAAACTAGAAAATCATAATTTTGCAACTGTCACCGGAAAGAATGGTTTGGGCAATAATTGGGGGGATATCAAATGGGGGTGGGGGAAGGTCTGACAGGGAGCAGCACCATAGTTTCAGGGTCCTAAAGTGATTCCCACAGATCTCCTATTAGACATGAGGAGAAATCATCAGTGATGCAGTGTACATCTTGGCTGGGTCTCAGAAATAACACCGTCCTATCTCTGTACACCACACCCCAGAAGGATACAACACACATGTGCAGTAGCCCAACTGCGAACACACAACCGGATCGAATCATGAGAAAATGCCAGATACAGCCCAAATAGGGAACACGGCGGTCCAGTGGTTAGGACTCAACACCTTCACTGCAGTGGGCCCAGATCCAGTCTCTGGTTGGGGAACCAAGAGCCTGCAACATGCACTGCGCAGGCCAAAAACACACAAAAACCCCCCCCACACAACAAGAGAGGGAGGGGAGGAGGGGGGCATGTGTTCTTCAGAAGTCAATGTCCTAAAAGACATAAAAAGCTTAAGGATGAGAAAAAAGCTGGAAAAGTAATTACTGGGACAACTGACAAAACTGGAACCAATGTGCACTGCAGATTAAGGTAACTGTACCAATGTTAAATTTCCTGAATTTCCTGTATTAGGATTACGTAAAACACACACTTAAGTTTTAAAGAGTAAATGAAGAAGAGAAATCCACCTATTCTCAAATAATTTGGAAAAAATAAAGTGTATGCATCAGGATATACATAAAGAGAAAAAGAGGAGAGAGACTATGACAAAAGAAACATGGCAAATACTAAAGATGAATGCCCTAGAAAAATGACACGTGAATTATTTTTATTATTTTTGAAAATTTTCTCTAAGTTAGAAATAGTTTTTTTCAAAAAGTGGGACACCTTCCCCTTGGGGAAAAATTGTCTTCTTAAAGAGGCAATCCAGGGGAGAAGGGAGGGGAGATGCATGGAGGGAATAACAGGGGAAACTTACACACCAAATGTAACATAGACAACCAACGGGAATTTACTGTATGACTCAGGGAACTCAGACAGGGGCTCTGTGACAATCTAGAAGGGTGGGATGGGGAGGGAGGGGACACGGGTCTACTGATGGCTGATTCTTATTGATGTATGACAGAAAGCAACAAAATTCTGTAAAGCAATTATCCTTCAATTAAAAAATAAAGTGGCAAAAAAAAGAGGCAATCTAGTTGTAAATATTAAAAAAACAAGAAAGTTAAATCTGACTAGCTTGAAAAGCAGATCCCTCAAGGTCAGACTAAAGCCCCCTCCCAGATTATAAAGTACTGATTTCAAAACACCTATATTCATTAAAAGAAAAAAAAATTCAACAACTCAATGTTTGAATAAACCATATCATAAAGATATGCAAGGGAAGATACCTAATAACTTTTTCCAGGATTTGATGAGGGACTTTGCTAAAGATGTAACTTCTTCATCTGTGCTCTGCTTGCGAATAGCATTCACTGACATTCCAATTCTTGTGGACTGCAAGGCAATGACAAGAAAAATGTACACAAGCAATTTTATTTCAAGCAATTCATTGTTTGATTTTCTTGTTTTCCAAATGCCGCTTCATTTTAGAATAGAAAAAACATCAACTGTGTGAATTCTTTTAGCAGTAGACTGCAGACTTAAGACACACACATCAAGGGTCTCACCACCGAGATCTGCTGGCATGCTAACTCGCTACTGAAGTGAGGCTGGTCAACTAGTAAAATGAAATCAGCCTCTCTCACAAGAGAACAGAACACAGAGCATCTGTGTGTGTACGCAAGGCAGGCAGATGCAACCACGGCCCACACACACGCCCACTTTGCTTCTTCACATTCTCCTGCACAAATTACTATGCACATCACGTGCTGCACCTTATAAAGAGGACACCTAAACAAATACTACCATCCACACAAGGTTAAACACCAGCACATAATCACAGATACTAAAAATGGACTTCACAGAATACAGACAACTTAACTTGTGGTGATATATATGCTCAGGGTTGTGCTGGGAGCACCCATATTCATCAGCCTTCCCAAGATCCTTTAAAATCGAGATCATCATCCCTATTTTTAAAGATGAAGAGACTGGAAGTGTCAATAAACAACCTGGCCAGCATCACACCATTACTAAATGGCAAAACTGGGATTTTAATCCAAGTCTGTCACCTCAAAATCCATGCTCTTTTTCCACACATCGACTGTCTTCAAACTGTGCTCAGAGAACATAAAGGTTCTGATGGTCAATTATGGATGATAAATAAAAAATGGTGACTTAATTAGTAAATTCAGGTTGTCAGTAGACAATCTCTCAAAATATGGTTATGGAAGAAATAAAATAACAAAAGGAACTGTTCGTGAGAGTTAAGGGAGCCCCTGCTATAAACTTTAAAGCTGAGAAATAAATGGATCCTTAAGATTTCCTTTTAAATTACTCAATGCACTCAACAAAGAGATTTGGGGCAGCTGTTGAAGAATCTAGAATATGTGTCTGACTGGACTGCCCTGTGTTGTCTCTCGGAGAGTGGAACACGGCGGAGGAAGTTTCCACAGCAGACACACACAGGGGACTCACCACCCTAAAACCCCAAGGCGGTTTGAGATCAGCATTTGGGGGATGTTTTCCCCACAGAAAGTAGTTTCTTTCTTGTAGAAGATAGTACATTCTAAGAACTTTTTTCAGTGAAGAAAAACTGTTAGAACTTTAGAATGCTTTAGAACTTCTCTAAAGCACTGCCTTCTTAGCTGGTGGGGCATGCACTTGAATGCAGAAGCAGGCAACATTTTACTATGATGTACATCACGTGCTGCACCTTATAAAGAGGACACCTAAACAAATACTACTACTCAGTAGATTACTAATTTATGTTACCATCTTTTAAAAAAACAAAAGCAAGTTAATAATGTTTTACACTATAAGAGGAAAATACAAAAAACTTATATTGGTATTGAAGATGTTTCAGTATTTTATGACAATTACCTAGTCAAAAATTATGACATATGTTAGCACTTACCTGTAATAGTTCCAGGGTCATGGGAATATTCTTAAGCTCCTTCAGTAAATCCAATGCTCCAGCCTATAAAATAAAATAATTTCAAACTAAATTCTCCAGAGAGGAAAGTAAAGACTAACCAGAGATTTAAAAGTATATTTTCCTATCCACAATTCACAGAGAGTCATTTATTCATGTGAGGAGAATGGTATATAGAGATATAGACACATAGATGAAAAAGGAAAAAAAGAGAAAGTTTTTTCCAAACAGGCTGCAACTCACTAGAGGATCATAAAATCCATTTACTGGGTTGTTAACCAGCAGCTATGTGTTGTCTTGTGAAAGTTTACTTTCAGTAGTATTTGTTTATGTGTCCCAACTAGAAATATGCAATGTTTCTCACTGTAGTGGTACAATACCCCCAGACTTCATGCAGGGCAACTAGCTATGGAAGCAGGAGTGGGAGAGTGGTGGTGGTGGAGGCACCGCTTCTCTAGAATTCTCATCATGCCTCTGCACCTCACAGCTCAGACTCAAGGACACTGCTGTCTACCTGGTTCTTGCATGGTAAGAAGCAAATTCTGAAAGGAAATCCAGAAGTGAGGTCTCTGTTAAGCTCGCAGGCCCATCTTCTGCCAGGGCTCTGATTCCCATCTAGAATCAAAGGCTCCCATGCAGCTGATGAGGATGAGACTTAACACTGATGCTAAGGGGGCTGGAATTACATGAGAAGCAACAGTGCCACCTACAGCTTGGGGTCAACGTTCCAACGTGATACTCATTCAACCAACCACACTTCAGTTCAGTTCAATTCATCTAATACATTTAACTTAATCAATCATATTTCATTTAGTCTAATAGTGACTTAATATACTATATTTGGACAGATCATCATTCTACATACCACTAATAAAAAAAACTATTAAAACTATCATAAACTTTTCTTTTCACTTCTTTTTACCTTTGCAGTTACTTTAGACTTGGAATTTTTGTCATATTACCTTTTACATATAGAAAAATATAATCAAAACTGGCTAAGGTGGTGGTTCTACAACTATTTTGCAGAGTCTAACACTTATGATTACCTATTGACTCAGATTCAATAATATCTGATTTTAGCCCACAAAAAGCTGTGTCAAAACACTAGTAACACAACATTTCACAAAAGAATCCATAAAAGAGCTCTGAGCCATCAGCTCTTTGCAGGCACCAGGGTGGGCTCTGGATGTGTGAGCCTGCTGCCTTTACCCCACTGCTCTTCTCCCACTGGCTTCTCGGGGGGCCAAGAGCACCCCACTACTCTCAGATTTCCTTCCAAGTCACTGACACCTGCTCCGCAATGTCGATGCTGGGCTGGATGTTCTGTCTGTGAAAGTACACCTCAACAGCCATCCAGCCAGCAAGACATGTAACTCATTCTGCTTTCTGAAATGTTAAAATATGAAAATTAGGCACTCCACAAACTAGTGAAACACAGCACACCCAGGAAAACAGAAAGCCCAGAGCACGGAACAAGCATGGAACCTCATGGTATCACTGTATTTCTTAAGTCTAAAATCAAGCAAAGGTTTCTAGCCAGATAATTCTTCCATTTAAAGTTGACAGATGTGACCCTGGAGAATAAAACAGTATTAACTTTTCTTCTGGCAACAGACACATCCTTTTAATTTAACCCAGAACCTCCTAGCTAAAAACAAGTTCAATAGGAATTATGAAACAAGTCATTATAAAGGATTTTTAAGGATCCCCCTCTTAAGAGATTCCTCCTGACCATAAATTCTATAATTTCTTTTTATTTAGAGGCAACTAAAAATAGAAAAACATTAGAGTTGTTAAAAAATAAAACACTGACTTTAAATTTACTGTTAATCAAGATTTTTATATGCATGCCATTTTTGTGAGCAAGTGTCTTCAATCCTCTATCTGCAAATCCCCAAACCAAAATCCTTTAAAAACCAAAAGATTTCCCATAAATTTTCAATAAACTCATTTGGCAGTAACAGCTAATCTCGACAGATGTACAGAGCTATTTAGTTCTATTTATCCTACTTAATGTGTGAATGTTACATTTCACTATAGAAATGCCAATGTCTGATTACCGGGAACTGCCCAGTTCTCACTGACAATACTATGAAATATGTATCGTCATATGATGTTTGTCCTATACCACTATCTTTCTAAAACTGAAAAATTTGTATAAAAATTTGTATAAAACTGAAAAATATGTATCGTCATATGATGTTTGTACTACACCAATACCTTTATAAAACTGAAAAATTTGTAATTCTCAAATACGTTAAAGACTCTGAAGATTTTGATTATGAGACTGTTTGCCTGTATCCTTATCTACCGTAGATATTTTTCTTCTATTCATGTCTCTGTGGTCTTTTTGAACAATTTCTGACCTAGGATCAATTAAAAGTGAAGATAATCACAATTAAGAGTCCCTTAAAAAGCAGGGTCTCCTTAGGTTTACATAAAGCTGGGTTGCATATAAAGTTGATTCTTCTAACACATCAGCAATGTGGCTTAAGGTCTAGGGTGTTTTTCAAGCAGAAGGAAGCAACAGATTTGCATTAATTTCATCACACTCTCCTTTTTCACTCGGATCTCTTTGATGAGACTGGGGTTAGAGATATAGGCTATGGAAGGAAGGAAAGGTTTAACACTTAGGGAATAAATTTCTCAGAATTACAGTGTGTTCCAATCAAATAAGATGAGTAGTTCAATCAAGGTTCTTTAGGAAATAAGCAACTATTAATATGACGATCTGGATGGGTGAAAAGGGCAACAAAGAGATGATCATATTTTTTTTTTTGATCATATGTTAATTCAGTGACAAAAACTTTTTTGAGGGTTACCATGTGTCAAGCACTGCATACAGTATCTCATTTCATCTTTACAAGGAACCCTATGGAAGTAGGAATCCTATTATCCCTATTTTACAGATGAGAAAATTAAACTTTTTTGAGGGTTACTGTGTGCCAAGCACAGCATATAGTATCTCATTTCATCTTTACAATGAATCCTATGGAAGCAGGAATCCTATTATCCCCATTTTACAGACGAGGAAATTAAAGCCCAGAAAAGTTAAGAAGCTTGCACAAGGTCACATGAATACTAACTAGAAAAAGTGAGATTTACCCCATTCTGTCAAATGACACACTGCCCCTTAACAAACACCCATTTACACCACATGCCAAGCTCTCTGCTGTGCTGAGGACACAGGAATGGGCAAAAGAGAAACTCTTTCTGACCTCAGGAAATCCAAAAATAAGCAGAAATCTTTGAGCCTCCACTTCAAACCCTCAATTAAACAAGAAAAAAAAACCAAAACCCTGAATTCAGAGAAGGTAAGTAATTTGCCTGAGGCGACACTGATGGGTACTGCAAAGGGACAGGAGCCCAGTTTCCTGGCCTTCCATCACTGCTCTGTCCATTCTGTAGCCCCACCCTTGGGGCAGTTGTGCTCTGTGTGAGCGCCAGCAAACAGCACTACTAACCAGTCCCTAATCATCACCTGCTTCTAAAGGTCAAGTCTATTCGATTGCAGCATCTCCTACAGACAATGATGCAAGAGAAAGAAAGAGTCTGCCTCAATTTCCAGAGTCAAATTTAGTTCACAGTACTGGCTAGAAGATAAACAGCTACAGACTACTTTATTACAGCCTTGGTACTCCTACCTGTCATCAGAGAGAAGTGCTTTATAAACCATGATGAGAACCCAGTACATACAAGACTGTACAGGATCCAAACAGCCTTCTGTTCAAGAAGAGGGAAGGAGCAACACAGAACACAAAGGACACACATGTCTATGGCAGATCTAGATTAAAATCCAGGCTCTGTTACCAGATCTTGGGCATGTCACTTTGCTTTTTCAAGCTTCAGCTTCTTCATGTGTAGATGAGCATATTACACTAAACTTTAGTTAAGATGATCAAATGAGGTAATATAACATATAAAAAGTATCACATTAGAGTGCCTGACATATAAGAGATGGTTGGCAAGATACAAAATTTATACATAAATTCAACTTTATAAAAATTTAAAGCTTTGGGGGATTCCCTGGTGGTTCAGTGGTTAAGATTCAGTGCTTTCATGGAGTGGCCTGGGTTCAGTCCTTGGTTGGGGAATTAAGATCCTGCAAGTCACACAGAGCAGCCAGAAAAACAAAAGTTTTTATCTTTCAGAAGACACTATCAAGAGAGTGCAACAACAGCCCACAAAATGAGAGACAATATATGCAAACCCTATCTCTGATAAGGGTCTAGTGTTCAGAATATAAAGAACTCTCACAACTTAGTAATACAGGCACTCAATTAAAAAAATGGGCAAAGAATCTGAACAGACATTTCTCCAATATGCAAGGGCATCAAGTACTGAAAAATGTTCATCATTAGTCATCAGAAAAATGCAAATCACCACAATGAGATACCACTTCATACTCACTACGAAGGCTGTAATTAAAAAGCTGTAATAACAAGTACTGATGAAGATGAGGTGAAATTTGAACCCTCACGCTACTGGTGAGAATGCAGAATACTACAACTTTGGAAAACCGTCTAGCAGTTCCTGCAAAGGTTAGATAGATACAGTCATCAGATGACCTGGCAGTTCTACTCCTACAGAAATGCACACACTCGACAGAAATTAAAATATATGTCCACACCAAGACTTGATCAAGAATGCTCTTAGATTATTAATAATAGTAAAAAAGTGGAAAATGACCAAATGCCCATCAAACTATGAGTAAATAAACAAAATGTGGTAATTCCATCAGAATAAAGGGATGCTACTCAACAACACAATAGAACATAATATTGACATGCTGTTACAAAGACGAACTTGGAAAACACCAAGCGAAAGAAATCAAAGGCCACTTATTAAATGATTCCATTTACAGGAAATGTTCAGAATAAGCAAATCAAGAGAGAAAGAACGTAGATTAGTGGTTGGGGGGAGATATGGTGACTATGTAAGGAGCTATTTAATGGATAGTTTTCATCTGTAGTGATGAAAATGTTTTAAAATTAGATAGTGGTGATAGCTGTACAAATCTGAGAATATATTAAAAACCACTGAACTGTATACTTTAAAGGGTGAACTGTATCGTACAGCCACATAAAGCTGTTATAAAAGATGCTGTAGTCATTCTAAATTCTGATTTATGCTAATTAATCCAACCCTGATATTGAAACCAGAGTTGTTTTTTTTTTTTCTAGCCCAGGTAAGATTAAGACTTAGAAATGTACTTATTTCAGGTATCCCTGCACCTAGGAAATTCTAACATCTAATTTCAGTTTCTCTCTTTGAAATTTAATTCTACTCAGTCCTGAGCCTTCAGTGAAGAAAAAAAATAAACAAATCTCAACATCACTCATTAAATGTGTCCATGAACTTGAAAATTCTAGGTTCTCACTTGATTCCTCTAAGTCTAGTGTTACAAATCCTTTACAAAGATAAACCAGAAGATTTTTTTCAGTTCAGTTCAGTCACTCAGTCATGTCCGATTCTTTGAGACCCCATGGACTGCACCATGCCGGGCCTCCCTGTCCATCACCAACTCCTGGAGTTTACCCAAACTCATAGCCATTGAGTCGGTGATGCCATCCAACCATCTTATCCTCTGTCGTCCCCTTCTTCTCCCACCTTCAATTTTTCCCAGCATCAGGGTCTTTTCCAATGAGTCAGCTCTTCGCATCAGGTGGCCAAAATACTACAGTTTCAGCTTCAACATTAGTCCTTCATATCCTAGGCACTGCCAAGAGTTTTATATTCATCTAATCTTTACTAAATTGTATCCAATTTACTACCAAAAAACATTTTAGACTCTAACAGCTAAAGTTCAGAATAGTCAGAATTTGAACCAAGATTAGGAGACAGACTTGCTTACTGACATTAAGTCAAAATGGCAAGAAAAAAAAATCTATGTAAAAAATTGCTAATATCTGAAAATTTGGAACTAATTCATGTGATTCATCATGGCCTCAAAGCGTGCCCTATTTAAGATTAAGTGCACACACGGGGCAACATTCTGGGCAGCACCAGGGTCAGGATATTGTGGGGATGTTCAGAGAAACCTGTCTGCCCCACAACAGCAAACACCCTGGTTACCCAATGTACCCAGACAAGGTTCATGACCCAGATCTTCTAGAGAGATGTTTGTAGTGGTAGATGCTTGAACAGAGTGGTACTGGCTTTGACACAAAACAGATTCAGATTCACACCTTCATTTGGCCACTCTGTAGCTATTAGACTTGAGAATTCACTCAAGCGCCTAAATACTTCATTCCCTCATTTTTATTTTTTTAAAATATATTTTTATTTATTTATTTTTTGGCTGCACTGCATGCATGTAGGATCTTCAGTTCAGTTCAGTTCTTCAGTCATGTCCGACTCTTTGCAACCCCATGAACCGCAGCACACCAGGCCTCCCTGTCCATCACCCACTCCCGGAGTCTACCCAAACCCATGTCCATCAAGTCAATAATGCCATCCAACCATCTCATCCTCTGTCGTCCCCTTCTCCTACCCTCAATCTTTCCCAGCATCAGGGTCTTTTCCAATGAGTCAGCTCTTCACATCAGGTGGCCAAAGTATTGGTTTCAGCTTCAACATCAGTCCTTCCAATGAACACCCAGGACTGATCTCCTTTAGGATGGACTGGTTGGATCTCCTTGCAGTCCAAGGGACTCTCAAGAGTCTTCTCCAACACCACAGTTGTAGGATCTTAGATCCCCAAAAGGGATCAAACTCATGTAATCTTAGCCACTGAACTGACAGGGAAGCCCAATTTCCTCATTTTTAGAATAGAGATTAAGACTTAGCTCAGTAAACTGTCTGAGGAATAAATCAGATAAGGTAGGTACTGAGAAGAATTCCTAGCTCAGAGTAATAGCTCAATAAATGGAAGCAGTTTTTATTATTACTTAAAAGTGACACCTATGATTTTTACTGGAATAGTAAAGCACTAACAACGGCACTTAAACTTCAATTCAGAGGACAACTATTATTTTTCCAGCAAAGTTCACCTTTTCATAGTATAAAAACAGTATAATAAATAGCTTGTAGAGAAAATCTGGAAGCCACACACACACGAAAAAGAGAAACAAACCTATCATAAAGAGAAACAAATCTATCATAATCCTCCAATTCCCCAGAACAGCTTCTGTTAAATTACTGAACAACTTAAAAAGCCTTCATGGGCTGCTGCTGGGCCTGGAGGGAGAGTCATTTAGACTGTTTCCCTTTCTCTATTTCATTTGCCTATCTGAATTTCTGTAACACAGACAGGAAAAGAGAGAAGGAAAAAAGTAAAAGAGCCAGTCAATTTTACCTTTCTCTGGCGGGGGCGGGGGCAAGGTTTTATATTGGTTAAGTTTTGTACTACTAGAAAAATAGAAGATTTGAGAAGAAAAATGAGACTTGAGGCTTATTTGTGGTACTTCTCATTCTCCTATTGACACATTATGTCTTTATAATTTGAGAACTGCAGATAAGCAACTGGTCTTCTCAATACCTGCTCACTAGGAAAGTCCTCATTTTTAGGAAACATCTATTACAAGGAAAGGAAACAAACACAAGCATCACTAGATGATTAAAGGATACACTACACGGCCCAAGTTAGAGAAAAAAATTATCCAACTAACAGCCTTTTCCCCTAGGTTACGCTTCTATTGTGGGAGTCTAGCGTTCCCTAGGCAGAGAAAAAAACTTGCCAGTTTAAGCAAAATAACAGAAATGTCCAGCCAATGAAATATCCAGAATTCATCACTTGCACCGAGCAATGAATGGCCTGTACCAATAGAAAAAACAAATAGCAAAGGCAACTGTCTAGAACAGAAAACAAACAGGAAATACTTTAAAAGTCCAAAATTGCAAATGCAGATTAACAGTCTATGAAATCACATGCTAGGCAATGCACCTGTGAAAGGAAAAGAGGAAGAGACTAAGTTTGAAGCCTGAAGAATTCGGTGTTTAAGGTTGCTTCCTGCTCTGGCATGCAGTCCAGCAGAACACTCAGCTCCTGGCTCAATCCACAGTGTACACTTCATGGAAGATGGCGAACTACTTGGCCTGACTTGGTTTCTTACTCTGTAAAACGGATGCAGCACAGCTGTGTCTGGAGTCCCAAAATGCCACTGCATAGATGCTTTGTAAAGTGCTTTCTCTAAGTGCTGTAAAACCAGAGCACCCCTTTCCTCTCTTCAGTTAGTCTGAGAATTTAGTTTAGCTGAAAAAAGAAAGCTTTGCAGTGAAGGACAGGGAAGCCGGGCCTGCTGAAGTCCATGGGATCGCAAAGAGCGGACACGACTGAGCGACTGGACAACAGACAGCTCTGAAGCAAGGGATTCAAAGTGGCACAGGCAGGTGGACAGAAATGCAGAAACTGGGACATCTCATACAAACCACAAGAGCACACGTCCACATAAACACGTTATCAGTGACAGAAAACGTTGCTGGCATCAACAGTAAAGCGCCCAGAGAGGCAAACCCACCCAGCAGTGCACACTCGTCACGGTGTGTGCCTTAGCCCTTCTGCACTCTACTGCCTAAGGAGATACACTTTTTTTAAAAAAGTTTAGCAGCTTGCCAAACACACCGGCATCGTTTACCTTTTTAATTGCTAAACAAACATGGAGGACAGTTGAGTTAATAGAGGACATGTTTAGCTCTTAAAAAAAATGATCCGGCAATTTCACGTTTTGCTTTATCAGCTTCGTGTCTAAAGCAGATCACAAACCGCTTTTGAAGTTCTCTCGTTTTTAGCCAATGAGCCCGGAAAAAGAGAACGGATTCTTTCAAACGGCGAGGGCTGTCTGTACTCTTGGGCTAAGCCAGCGAGGCTCGGCCACCATCAAGTTTATAGTGAGAACGCCTCGATCAAGTTCACCCAGCTGCACCGGCCCCAGGGGCCTCGACGCTCAGAGCGGGCCCTCAGCCGCGGGTGGAGCCCCCCAACCCCGAAACCCTCTGCCCAGGATGTGGGACAGGACACCCCCCCGCTACCAAAACCCTCTCCCAAGAACACGGGATAGGACTCCCGCCCCGGGACCCGTTTCCCGGGACGTGGGACAGGACACCCCCCAGGATCCCCAGGACCCCACCCTAGAGCCCCCTCCCCGCGAAGCGGTACAGGACATCCCTCCCAAGACCCCTCTCAAGGACGTGGGATAGGACTCCCGTCCCGTGACTCCCTCCCCAGGATTTAGGACAGGACATCCCACTCCACCAGAACCCTCTCCCAAGAACGCGGGATAGGACTCCCGCCTCGGGACCCCTCCTCAGGATGCGGGACAAGACACCTCCCCAAGACCCCTCTCTCCAGGGCTCCCTCCCCGCGATGCGGGACAAGACACCGCTCCCAAGACCCCCTCCCAAGGACGAGGGTTAGGACTCCCGTCCCAGGACCTCCTCCCCAGGATGTAGGACAGGACACCCCACTCCATCGGAACCCTCTCCCAAGAACGCGGGATAGGACTCCCGCCCCGGGACCGTCCCCAGAAACGCGGACAAGACACCTCCCCAGGACCCCCCATCCAGGGCCCCCTCCCCGCGATGCGGGACAGGACACCGTTCCCAAGACCCTATCCCAAGGACGCGGGTTAGGACTCCCGCCCTGGGACCCCCTCCCCGCGACGATAGACAGGACTCGCCCCCCAGGTCTCCCGTACCAAGGACGCGGGCCAGGACCCCTCCCCCGGGACCTTCTCCCCAGGACGCGGGCCAGGACTCCCTCGAGGGCCCCTGCCCCAGGACGAGGCCTCGCCGGCGTCGCGCAGGGAGGGCGGGCGGCGCGGGCCGCGAGCCCCGTCAGGCCGCCGGGCTCCCGCGTCCGGTCCCCGCCCGCCGCCCGACCTCGCTCCGGCCCGCGCCGCCCGACGCGCTCACCGCGTTCTTCTTCTGCACCATCTTGTCCATCTTCTTGGCAATGCGGATCACCTCGTCCTCCATGGCTCCGGCGGGCCTGCCCCGCGCCCGGCCGTGTGGGACGGGAAGTGCTTGAAGCTGGCCGGCGGCGGGCGAGCCCAGGCGTCTGCGAGGCGCCTCTGCAGGCCGGGCCCAGGCGCTTCCTCACCCAGCGAGCCCGCGGCGGCGGCGGCAGCGGCGGCGGCGGCGGTGCTCCTCCCCCGCAGGCAGAGCCAATCGAGCGGCGCGCGCGCCGAGCAGGCGTCACCAATCGACAGCGACCAGCTGGGCTACAGGCCCGCCGGGCTGCACAGCTTCGCCGGCTGTCGTGAAAGTGGGCGGGCTGTGCGGCAGAGCTTCGCGCGCGCGCCCTACGGCCCCGCCCCCAGCCCTCCCCACTGCGGTCCCGTGGTGCCCGGGTGCCCCAGGTCTGCTGGTCTCCCGTCCACGAGCCGTGGCGCCCGCAGAGACCCCCGCCCGGGGTCCACCAGCCCCGGCGGCTTTGGAGGATGGAACGTGGTGAGAACCCCAGCTTTTCCCCCGCCGTCGACCGCTGCCTCGAAATTGGATTTTATATTCCCCTCAATAGATCGTTGTATCATAAGGATGTGGCCGTTGTAAGAGTTTCCTCTTTAAAGCCGTTTGTAAACGCCGTGAGGACGGGGACCCAATCTTGTTTTGTTTGCTGACTTAGAATGTTGGACGCTGTACCTTAAATATAGTAGAATAATTGTTGACAGTAATGTTCTCATCAAGGAAATTGATGAAGGCATTTCACCTGCTCTGAAGATAAATGAGGAAGTTGAAATGTAAAAAGCTGTGACTAACAACCCAAAACCGAGGTAGAAAATCGAAATAATCAATACTGGAGAGTGTAGGCTCCTTCCGTAGGTCTTTGCCCAGTTAATACCCTGGACTACCATCTCGTGCAGTTTGCAGACATACCCAACACCCAATTTAACTATCACTAATCAAAACTCACCACCTAATAATGTTTCCTCTATACTAGGATGTCAGGTATTGTTCTAGCTCAGTTATTTGAGCGAAAGAGTAATTTGAACCATGCCCTTTTCTCTTTATTTCGTTTTAGTTTTAAAGTTATCTTTGGGTATTTTTTCTTCTTTTTGGGCAATTGTAAATGGTATTGTATTTTTAATTTTGGTTTTCACGTGTTCCTTGCTAGTTCCTTGACCTATAGGTCATTTTTAACCATGTTTCAGCTCCCAAGTTAGTTAGATTCATGCAGCCATTGCTTGTTGAGTTACCCAAATGTTTATCACTCTGCCCATTCTTTGCATCTCTCCTTTCCTCTAGTTCATTTTTTTCCCCTGAAAGAACATGGTTCTTTCACTGTTCTTTTTTCTCATAAACTTTCTATATCAAAGTGGTTTTCTTTTGCCCTCACTGTAAAATGAGTTCGCCTCTAAGTTTATCGGTTATCCTTTCTCTTCCACTTTTACGTTATTCCATTATCTTCTGACCTCTGGTGGTGGTCTTGTTAAGTGTGATGTGCGACTCTTCAAGTAGGCTCTCTCTGGTTGCTAAGATCTCTTTCTAAAAAAAAAAAATCTTTTTCTATGGTATTCAGTTTTGCTTCTCACCATGAAATGTCTCTTTAGAGACTTTGGGTTTTGTTTTTTATTAAATTAATTATTTTTTTGGCTCCGCTGGGTCTTGGTTGTGGCACACAGGCAGGCCGCGCCCAGGGATGGAACCCACATCCCCTGCATTGAAAGGCAGATTCTTAACCACTGGATCACAAGGGAAGCCCCTAGAAGCTTAGTTTTATTTCTTCTGTTTGTAACTCGTGTTGCTTCCTGACTCCGAGATTTCTTACCTTTCCTGAAGTCTGGAAAAATGTCAAGTCCTTTTATATTCAAGTAATGCTTCTCTGCCATTCGGTGTTCTGCAGCTTCCTGTGTAACTTTAGGTTGGACCTCTTCATTTTACTTTTCCAGTCTCTCACCCTTCCTTTTGCTCCCTCGAATTTCTTCTATTGAGTTTCTTTCATACATAGTTTCATGCATACAAGTCTTCTGTGTTTAATATACAGTTTAACTCATCTATCTGAGTATTTTTTGTAGGTCATATATTACAATTCAAACTCAAGAACAAAGAGTGTGGGGTTTCAGTTTGGGAAGCTGATTAAAGTTCTGGAGGCCTACGGTGGTGACGGTTGCATACGCTACTGAACTGTATACTTTGAAAAGTGGTTAAAATGGTAAATTTTGCTATGTTTAACCACAATAAAAAAAATCTGAAGAATAAAAAAAAGTATATCCAATTCTGGCCTGCTCTCCTCCCGTCCTTACCGGCTTCACCCCTGCCCCAGTCATGCTGTGTAACCTGTTTTATTAGATTCTTCACATCCTTCTCACATATGGGTTTCTTTTTTTAATGCAAATCCTAGCCAGGTGAAATATATGGGTGTTATTTTCTCCACCCCTTTGTGTTTCACATTTCTTCATCAATAATGTATTCTGAATCCTTTCCAAATTAGTTCCTTTTTTTTTTTTAACAGCTGTTTAACAATCCATTGTACAGGTGAAGAGTAATTTATTTAGCTGGGCCACTTTTATTCCACATGGGGTCGTTTCAGGTATTTTACCCCATCAGAAATACCATCATAAATAATCCTTCTCCGTGAAGATTTCTCACCTGAGTGTTTATTTCTACAAGTTTTCTTTTTCAAACCTGCATTTTCTGATACTGTGTCCTTTCACCTGTCTGTTCTCTTCTCTGTTTGGTCGAACTCTCTCACCAATTAATCTCTTCTCATTCCTGAGAATCCAGTGATCCCTCTGCCTTCTGTGTCACCTGGTACTCACCTGTGCAGGTAGTTCTCTTATCAGGTTTGTCCTTTAGGGGTGTTGAGCTTTACTTTTGGCAGGGCTAACTAACCAACCTGGGCTGAGAATACATCACTGTGTTTGGGAGAATCTGTTTGCCTTTTCCAGGTACCAGAGGGGCAGACCCAGTCCCAGGAAAAAAAAATTTATTTTTTGGCTGCACCCTGAGACTTGTGGGATCTTAGTTCCCTGACCAGGATTTGAATGAACCCTGGCCACTGGCAGTGAAAGCGCAGAGTCCTAGCCACTGAACCACCATGGACCTTTCCAGGGAAATTCTTGTTCATTAGAAGCTTACGTGTTTCCAGGCCACATTAATAGTACAAATTCAGAATCCAGGTATCTGTGAAGAGAGCTTCTGGTTTCAAGGGAAGGGCTCCCCCTTTTTTTGCTGCCTGAGTGCAAGCAAAGACAGACAAATTTCTCCTACCCCTTCCCAGGAGTCAGATTTTTCTCCGGTTCACCCTGTGACAGAGTGGAGCCCCTGAAAGTATGCCTGTTTCTTCATGGTGAGTTATTTCTGAGCCCCCAAATTAGGTGTGGCCTGTGTGGGGTTTAGGTTCCTTTTTGGTTCTTTCTGAGCATTGGAGGATGCAATTTAGTTAGGGCAAGCTGAATTTTACCCGAATCTTTTCAGCATTACTAGGTGTTTTGAATATGAAACAAGTTTTTTTTTTTTTTTTTAATGTTTAGAAGCATTTAAATTACCTCCCAGGGGCACAGAGTATGAGTCCCCTGGCAGGGGACTATAGGGTAAGGAAAACACGTCATTTTGAACCCTGGCTTCTACACACATCAGCTCTGGGGACCACGGGCAAACAGTTCATCTCTCCAAATGTATTTCCTCTTCCAGAAAATGAAGATAAGGTTGATGTGAGGACTATATGAGTAAAGGATATAAGATGCCTAGTACAGTGCCTGCCTGGAATTGATTAAGTACTTAAGTTTTAGTAAAACACTGTTGTTATCTGTAGATAGACTTAAAACAAAACCATGCTTGGACCACATCTGTTCTTGAGCCAAGAGTTTCAAAAGGATGGTGAAATCAAAGGTTATCACATGAAATAAGCCGCTGCTATGGAGGGTAAATCTAAGAGCTAAAGCTGGAGACAAGATTTCAGCACAGAACTCTCATAAGTAGGAAGGCCACCCTCAGATGGAACAAGCAGCCTCACAAAAAGGTGAGCTGGTCACTTGGTTCAAAATCAAAAGCCGAAGGACTGTTTAAAAGGCAGACAGGATTCCTTTACAGGGAAAAGAAAGAAATCAGCAGTGAAGTAAAAGGAGAAAAGAACCACTTGGATAACTGATTTATGACACTAATTTAAAAATCCCATGAAACTATCTGAAAGAAGACAGAAGGAGACACCACAGAAAACTTCAATAGGCCAGGAACCCTTAAGATCAAACTGGAGATTTTTTTAGCTCATTAACACTGGCTCCCACTTGGCTGCACTCCACCATCAATCTGCTCTCTCTACCTGTATTCCTGGGACTGGACCA